TGTACTTATTTATAATAATATTTTATTAAAAATGAAACATATATAAATGTGGAGGACTATTTGATAAATAAAAAAGTTCAACTCCATTTTGGAGTAATGAGTTGGTTTACTCCATATTTGGAGTAATCATGTTTGTTACTCCATTTTGGAGTGAGTTTTGGAGTAGGGTTGGAGATGATTTTACTGCAAAATGGAGTTTGGAGTGGGTTTTGGAGTGGGGTTGGAGATGCTCTTAGGTGTAACCGAGGGATCGTATTTGCTGGTTGGTCCAGACTTGCTATACATATGACGACCACTAAATCGAATAAGATGTAATATCATTAAAAAAGAAGATGTAATCAAAAGACCTATGAAGATAATTGTATCACTTGGAAGCAAAATTTTATATTTGCAAATTTTGCAAAAGTCAACATATATAAAGTCCTATTGAGTTGACGCAATCCCTACCCAACGGGACCCAAGCAACGAAGTTTCGCGCCATATTAGATCGTTTAGACTTTCACCGTAAAATGCTATGAAGTTTTGCAATATTTCTATTAGGTTAGAAGTTTAGAATTCTCAGAGGCTGCATACATCTAGTTATCAAGTAATAGTGTAGTCAAAATTGTCGGTCAAAACTAAAACGTTTTAAAGTTTATTATTTCGTGTATATATTTGAAATGTTATAGTATGTGTATATTTGTGTAGAATACGATTTGAGATTGGTATAGTATTATAGAATATATCTTTATAATTGTCCTTTTAGAGATTCTATGATTTTCATGCTCTTTTTATATAGTACTCTTTATATGAATACAAAATTATCTGCGTTAATTTTGAATTTGGATCATTTTAAAGAGTACTCTTTTTTCCCAACCCAATCAAAACGAGGATACATGTTTTAAAATTAGTTTGTTAGAAGGTGATCTTAGTCACATCATTACATAATGTAATTGTCAAACTATCATTTGGCGTTTAGTAATTATGAGCAAAAAATTACAATCATTTCATTTAAAGTTTTGATGATTAAGAGTAAATAAGAATAGGTATACGTTTTATATTATCATATCCCATTAGAATAGCTGTTGCGCATTTGTGGCAAAGCTAATATATAAGATCTCGCTACGTCCATCTTTTGAGCAAACATTTTTTATATAGGATTATATTTTTTAAAAACAATATCAAATTCTTTCTTTTTGTCTCAATGTTCAGGAGGCAACTCCAGGATACCCAACTTAAGGTAGACTTTTGTAATAATAATAATATACTTTTTCTATATCATTTTCAAATGCATTTCATATTCTTTGTGAGCTAGACCCTACCATCTCGTGGTCTTATCGTCCAGAAACTATAGAATAATGATACTAATAATATGTCAACGGTTTTTGGTAAGGAGACGAGTTGGGAAGAAGAAGTCAGTCTCCAAGAATTTGACTCAGAACAATACCAAAGCTGGTTTAACTCGTCAAAAATACCAATTCTAGACTATTCATTTCAACGTCTCATCAAACACGTATATATAAATACCTACACCCACCAACATGAAAAACCCACCACAACTTACCAAGTCCTGAAACATCGATTCCTCGCATTTAATATCTGCATATTGTCAAAGAGAACATCAAGATCCATCAGGTAAAAATACATACATCTCCAGAATTTTCGTTCTTTTATAAGTTCTATATATTAATTGATTACACGATGAATCTATATGGCAATATCTCATTTGCAGTTTAACGGAGAAGAATGTCGCCGTCCATGATAGCTCCGGTGGTAGAAGAAGAGAACAATATATACCATAAAGGCGTGAAACATCTTTGTGACAATGGTCTGACCAAAGTACCAACCAAATATGTATGGCCTGAACCTGACCGGCCCATACTCACAAAATCCGACAAGCTCACCAAACCAAAACAAAACCTAAAACTTCCCATCATAGATTTCGCCGAGCTACTTGGACCTAACCGGTCTCATGTCCTACAAACCATAGCCAAAGCCTGCGAAACCTACGGATTCTTCCAGGTTGGTTCTCAAAACCCTAAAGTACATGAACTGTGGTATATATTACTCGCTTGCTAAGCAAGTAAGCTATATTGTAATGGGTATGCAGGTGGTGAATCATGGAATGGAGGGAGACGTGAGCAGGAACATGATAGAAGTGTGTAAGAAATTCTTTGAGCTTCCGTACGAGGAGAGATCAAAGTACATGACGTCAGACATGACGGCTCCAGTACGGTACGGCACCAGTTTCAACCAGAACAAAGACAATGTCTTTTGTTGGAGAGACTTCTTGAAGCTCTATGCACATCCTCTCCCTGATTATCTTCCTTATTGGCCTTCTTCTCCATCCGATTTCAGGTGAGCTTTCCCACATTTAATTACATTTTTTCACATTTAGTTTACATATAACTGGAAAGTTAATTAATCATATGCAGTTTTTTGCTGAAAATAAATATATTAGTAGGTCCGGGATACCCTAATCAAAACATAAAAATATAAAAAATATATTAAACTAGAAAATTCACATAAACACACACATATACATATAGTACATGTGGGTATCAAGTGTTAAACTCAAAACAGGTTGTTCAACATTTACGTATATGAATATTTAAATACATCTGCAGAAGGATTAAAGTAGTCAAAAGTAAAAAAATAGTATTACATATTTTTGAATCTTTGAAGTGCATAAACATCCAAATCAGTATATTTTGGTCACAAAGTGCCACCTAAATAGATTAACTACAGGCAGGTGAATGTATGGGTTGATTTATTTTAATAATAGATATTTAAGTGGCGGCTTGTAAAAATCCATAAAGTTGGGTAGAAAAAACTACTAAATAACAAACAAAAGGTCTATATATTACGACTTACTTATCCTAGTTTACACCGCCACCATATAAGAGCAGTCACGGGTTAAATATCACGTGTGATATTAGTAATATTGTACAAAATTAATTACATGAGCTTGTAACTAATGTTATAAATAAAATTAAAAAAATGAAAACAGGAGTTTGGCGGCTACCTACGCAACAGAGACGAAAGAGATGTTCGAGATGATGGTGAAAGCCATCATGGAGAGCCTTGAGATAGACGGTGACAGCGACGAGGTAACGGAGGAGTTGAAAGAAGGTAGTCAAATGGTGGTGGTGAACTGTTATCCACCGTGCCCAGAGCCGGAGCTGACGCTGGGGATGCCACCTCACTCCGATTACGGTTTCTTGACTCTTCTTCTTCAAGACGACGTTGAAGGACTTCAGATTCTGTACCGTGACGAATGGGTCACTGTAGATCCCATCCCTGGCTCTTTTGTCATCAACGTTGGCGATCATCTCGAGGTATATGACTTGTCTTATTCTTACAAAGCTTGTCTTTATCAATTTATGAAATTATATATATATTTTTTTAGATTTTTTTCTCTTTTCATTTTTCCATATTCCAGCTACTTCTTATCATTCCCAACTATCGTTTTTATTGTTGATAATGATTAATATTTTGTCACTTTATATGTAGATATTTAGCAATGGGAGGTACAAAAGCGTGTTACATAGGGTATTGGTGAATTCCACAAAGCCAAGGATATCAGTGGCGTCACTGCATAGCTTCCCTTTGACTTCGGTCGTGAAGCCATCCACGAAACTCATCGACGAACATAATCCACCGCAGTATATGGACACTAACTTTGCCACTTTTCTTCAGTATATATCTACTCGCGAACCCAAGTGGAAGAATTTTCTTGAATCACGCAAGATTCACCATCTAAAATAAACGATAAATATTATCATATTTCTTCTTCTAATGTTAATATCATTAAGGTGGATTAGAATGTGTCATGGGTTTTATGTTAAAAGAAAACAGAAGAACAATAATACGTGTAGCTTCCAACATTATTAAGCTTTGTTATTTAAATTGTATTATATATATTATTATCATAGAAGGTCTTTTTTTAAAGTGCAATTCTGTTTTCCAAATATTTACATGTCACTGCTACTGAGTTATTTAAAACTTATGATTTTAAAACATACAAGAAAATCATTCTTGGAGAAGAGCAAAGATGGGCTGTAAAATTTTTGTTACCATTCTCATTATCGTCTCCCTCTTTGGTCTCCATGATTGTAAGAAGTGGACGCTATTAAAAATCAAATATTAATAATAGTTTTAGGCGTATTAGCATTTGTAGGTCACGACATCGATCATCCCCCGGGAATAGAAAGGTGCTTCCATAAATTTATGGGAAAGCCATGGCAACTCGAGTATTTGTGTTGCGTCGAAGCTCCATCCATTTGCTTCCCTTTCGTCGATCCCGAAAATTGCCTCACGAAATGTCCGCCGCTACGAAAAGGTATGGGTATAACAAGGATTGTAATATCTCCTCCTCTATAAATGCTCAATGAAATTAATGTAATATCTAAAGTTATGATGGTTTTTATGCCGGTTCATCTTGAGATGTTCATAAATCAAAAACTGGTATGAGTACAACAAGGATGGTAATATCTATGAAAACAAGCCGTTACATTTGATTTTGATTGCTCATATAGATCTTCAATCTGCACACAATTATCTTACCATCCCGTTTCCAGTATATAATGTTTTACAGAATTTTTGATGCTTCGATATCAGTCATCACCAATATGGTCTCCCTAACTGTAGTTTTTTTATCGTAATACAACTATATAATCAGATAGTGCAAAATACTATTAAATTTATTTTTTTCAGATCAGAATAGAAATACAAAAATAATAATACACTATTCATGAAGATACACTATAATTTTTTAAAAAAATTACAAATAAAAAACATAATTTGGATAATAGATACCAATACAATACATAAGGTAGAACAATACAAGTAAATATAATTAGGTGGTTACCCACGAATTTGCAGATATAAATATGATATGAAAATATATATTATGTATACAATGTTATAAATTTTGAATAATAATTAGAAACCTTGAAAATATAATTTTTAACTTCAAATAATTTGACAATCAGTCGTAAAATGTCCATAAATTTGATATAAAAATAACTGATGAATATGTAGTAATAACAAATGCTTGTGGAATTATATATGTAATTATCACATTAAATTTTGCAACACATATTATGCATATTCTTTAAACTCCTTTTATTTTTCTTGTTATTATTATTTTTTTAATTATTTTTTGCTAATATTTTCTTAAATTTTTCATATTTTTTTCTAAATATTTATTTATCTCTAAATAGTAATAAAAAAATCATGCAATCAATGAATCATAATTTCATCTTAGAATTATTTTTAATCATAACATTATTTTATAACTATATTATTTAACTTAAATGCAAAACATGTTTGTATATCTAAGTTGTCACATATTTTGTTAAATATAATCCATTCAATTGTCGAAACCTAATCATTTATAAAGCATAATATAAGGGATTAATAATTATTCTTGTCGACGTTAAAAACTAGTGACGCATGGCACAACCTTCTAAGCTTATACAAGAACTTCCATTGTTCTTCAAGACATCCTCCTCGTCCATAGATGGATATGAAGGGAGGAGAAGAAATTATGAAAATCAAACCGAGCTTACATAACATGTTCTTAGTGAATGTCAAGAAGAACTTAATTATAATTACCAACCGGTCTATATTAGTGTTGGTTTCTAATTCAGTTTTCTGCTGCTTTTGTGGTCCAGTTTTGTTTCTATTCCTCACTGTGTTTCTCAAAACAAATGGTTATTAAATGAAACAGGTTACTTTTTTTTAAGAAGAACAAAAAGGTTATTTATCTAAAAAACAAAAAAATATTTTTGGTTGGAGGAATGTCTCAAGTCCTTGTGATGAAGAACGCATGTGTCCTGTAGTTGCTGGTTGCGTCTTGCTTGTGAGCTCTTCCATGTCTGCTATTTACGGTTTGCTTTTTAATCTGTAATCAAAAGAGTTAACTTCTATTGCAGAAATTGCATAGCTTGGCTTGCAAGGCAATGTCTTCTGTCTTCTAGTTACAGAGGAATCCCTCAACGACCCATTTGCATACAGCGATAGGATAACATAGATGTCTTCTAGGTCATGTTACGGTCTTGTTAAATGCGATTTAGTAATGACACTAAACCTCAAAAGTGTGGCGGTTTCTATTGATCTACCTATATACAAATAAAAAATGTGGAACAATTACATAGATGTTTTATAATACTTATCGTGTAGTATTTGAATAAACGTGGACCACAATGAGGAGAAATTGAAATAAACAATGTTAATGTAAATCCAAATTATAGCATTTTGTTTTTCTTAAAATATTTCTTTCCAGTAAGACGAAAGGTAAAATATGAATCTAAAAAAGTAAACAAAAAGAGTTTTGTTTCTCAACTACAAAATATACACACAGGTCTTTAACTACTTACTCCTTGGGTTGTTTCAAATCAAAATTGTCTTCCGCCTCGATTTTCTTGTCAGTGATTTGGTGTGAATGAACCGGTTTCTGCAGCATGGATGCTCCTTTGAACCTCACCATTTGGTAGCTCACCTTTACATACTTGCTGAGCTGCAGCAATTGAGTGTTCATTATTATCAGATTCTCTTAGAATAATATACTATACAATTTACAAATGAAGTCAAATCCATCGTGTTTTACCTGTTCAGGTGCAAGTTTTCTGAAACCAAATTTGTTCATCCATAAGGGCTCAGCCTCTTCAGCTGCTGGAACCATGATGCTTTCAACATTCAGGAATGAGAGTAGCTTCTCAACGCAGGAAAATAGCAATTGAAAGTAGCCCTGGTTTTGTTTATAAACCCATGAAATTCGGTTAAGCAAGGAAAAGAACCTCGCAAGTCAATCATGAAACATAATTTATCTTCTAGATATCGTTTCAAAATGGGACAATAAGACTATTACCTTCTCTCGGCTGCACATGCGTGTTGCAACTAATGGAAGTTCTGCAACCTCTCGGCCAAATACTCGTAGTAGTCCAGCAGAAACAACAGTTGCGCTACAAACATTAGTACCGGAAAACAAGCCAAAACACACGGTTAACCGCAATAAAAAAAATATGGGATCTGGTTGTACAGAATAGAGAGAAAGATCTTTTACTTCACAGTCAAAACAGCACAGCAGATTCCCCCGTAATCTTGTCCTTGCATACTCTTCCTAAATTAAAAAATGCACTTGTGCTTGTTATTGATGTTAATGTAAGTGTTAAAAGAATAAAAAGTAAGGCTACTTGAAGCAGGCATGATGGAAGAGTCCTCACCCATAAACCATTCTTGGGATAAGGTTGCGCCCAGAAACTGGATCAACTATAGGATCAAAGCAATCCTGCAAAAAAAAAAAAAAAGCATAATAATTTTAAGGAACTATACAAAAGGAACGTTAGTCATATGGTGATTCCAAGAAAAAATACTATGGAATATAAAGGTAAAGCAATAAGCTTCTGCATCTCCAGAAGAGGGTACTTCTTATTTATGGTTATGCCTTACTTTAGTTTCAACTTGTAGGCATAGAAAATTAGAAATAGAGATATTCATACATACTAACCAAATCAAGATGATACTATATAAATATTCTTTGATTTTTACGAACTATAGTAAAGGATAATGTAGACCTATGCAACGTTCCTAGACCTATCGTGTAGTACTTTGCTAGGTACCCTTCCCCATAATTTTCTGGCCACTACTTAACGAAAAGAGGAGTAGCCATGAGCTACGCCAATTATCAGATCGGAAGAAAAGAATCACGATGTTATAAAGTTATAAATTTTAAGCCGCTTACATGAAAAATAGCCAATGCCTGAGACAGCAACATCCGACTTTCAGGAGAAGTAACTTTGCCGCTGATCAGTCTCCATCTGATGTCAAGATGACTGACGAAATCAACATTAGTAATTCCTTGCTTCATGCGTATTATTTCCAAAGAAGAATCTGAAATATTCTCCGCCCCACCAAGCAGTAACTTCTGCAAAGTGGAGTTGATCCTCGTACAGTCCATAGAGCAAAACCAATTTCCTTTAGGTAATTCCTGTTAGAAAAGCATATCATGCCGCGTTAGCTAGAATCAGAAAGATCTAATATGTGCACAAACGCAGAAGACTGTAAGCTGTGGATAAAGCTATATGAGGTCACCTTTAAATCCACAATGTTATGACTACTCAGACATCCAATGTGGTACTCCTTTTCACACTGTTGCAATGTAAATATAAGTAACAGTAGTAATTATTAGTGTGATATACAAATCTAATTTAAGATCTTGCCACGATTGAGAAAGTACCTGATCACATATTATGATTGTTCGTGGCCCGAATCCGGATCTGCAAAAATCGGAACCACTGTGGACAAAATAAGCTAAAGATTATTAATACTCTCAAACAGGTAATTCCTTTCGAACTCGAAGGACAAAGATGTAAAGAAATTTAAGAATACATCAATCACATTCAGAAGAAGAAATTAGACTTAGCCAGAATTTACCTGCATAGTACACACCCATTTGTTTCAGCTTCCATGTTCTTGACAACTCGAATGCATCGTCCAGCTAACTGATCAGCATGATCAACTCCTTCGAGTTGATCAGGTGCAGAAGAATTAACATTGTACTCTCCAATAGTCTCGCTCTTGGAATTTTTCTCACAGTATTTGCAATGCCAGTTACCACGAGGAATACTTGGAAGGGAAACACATTCTACATAGACCACACAGATGAGGTGAGAAAAATGATCGAAATTCCACAGAATGATCTAAAACCTAAGAATATCAAAAGTCTCTACTGTCAGCAAAGTGGCTAAAATGGTAAAGATTTTTCGAAGTGATCCTGCTGGTAGATATATCCATACCTTTTTCTAGATTATTATTATAACATACAATTAACTCATGCTGCAGGCAAAATGTTACCAACAAGTGTAGATACTGAACTAGAGGAAAAATCATTTGAATGGTAAAGAAAGAAAGTGAACTGCATGCTGCAAAACTGCTTAAGTACAGCTTTACCTATGTGGAAGGCTCTTGGGCAGCTATCACAGCGCAAAAGATTTCCACCATCAGCGCAAATGACACACAAGTCGTCATTTTCATTAGGAGAATATTTCCGGCCTTGTGAGAAAGTCATTGCCCATTCGTGAAGAGAGATGCCATTAGATGTATATATGTAAAAATAACTGCAACAAATAAAGACTAGTCAAAGATCGAAGAAATGCAGAATTCCAATATAAAGAGAGACAGAGAAAATTCGTACGGTTTTCTGCGAGATGTCCAGCCTGCATGAGCTTCGAACACGGATGGGCTCACCTGCACGCAAAATGCAATATTAAGAACCAATTGATAATGCATGAATAATGATACTGAGTGTACAATATCAAGTACCTCACACTTGCAGCAGTAACAGTAAATTCCAGCACCCATTTTGTGGCCTCCGAGCAATTTCTGCCCACAGTGATATTATGTCTTAAAAGAGAAGGTCAGGTCCAGAGATATATATAACCACACGTAGGATAAGGTAACTAACCTGTCCGCGGACATAATATCCTAGTTCAGTTCCATCTGGTAATCCCTCTTTCTCAAACACTAACTTATGCAATCCCTGATCCCTGCGTGCAAAGAGATATATGCAAAACATAATAGTTACAAACCAGCCAGAAAAACCAAAAGTAAGGATGCTACAAGTAAAAGATACTAACCTTCTCGTTGTTCTACAACTCCTCTTTTTCGAAGAAGAAGAAAGGGGCACGCTTTTTAAAGCCTTGGGGATCACAGAATGTTGGCCTAACCTTCAAAAACACAAGAAACTAGACACATCAAAATACGGCTCTTTATCGTCACCATTAGTTTGGCTAATATCATCATGAAGTAAAAGATACCAACATCTTTAACTCAGATCTGCACCTATTATGTGAAGATATATCTGTAGATGCACTGAGAGCCTTCCCAACCAAAGCTTGACGTAATGCCCTGAGATGCAAGGTGGTAATTTAAAATTTGATGACCAGATTCAAGAAAAAAGGACATGCATTACATACACCATGTTTAAGAGACAACAAAACTGCAAATAGAGTCGTATCAATGCAATGTTTGATGAAGAATGAAGATGCAACACATAGAAACATAAAAAAACCAACAAAATGGTACCAACTTTCTTGTGATCTCCTGAGTGCCATTTCCCAGTGGTGATATAGATAGAGGAGATTTTATTGTGGATACTGATCGCCTGAAAAGGCAAAACAATACTAGCGAATGAATATTTAATTACTTATACTTATGCATGATGCCCCCAAGAAAATAAAATTTCGCCACACATAAGATGGGAATCTAAACAGTACACAAGACATCTTATGACTAAGAGAACATAGAATAAAGGTTACCAACTTTCTTGTTATCTTCCATCTGCTCTTAGCCAGAGATGTTATGCACGCAGGAGTACTAGTTGGGGTCCTTGTAGCAGCAGAGTTAGCCTGAGAATTTTCTATCTCTGAGCATGACAAACACAGTAAACCTCTATGGCCAAGAGAGGGTAAAGGGTACACGCCTAGAAACCACAGTCATTAAGTTCACTTTTGACCAAATAATCCTCGATACATTTTAGAACACGCTAGGGAAAAATACTCTAACAGCCCACCTTTGCATCTTTTACAGGTGAAGCATTTTTCTTTAGACGCACCATTAACTGCATCAAGAACTTTTGCTCGAAGAGAATGTAGAGGAGCGTTCCTACAAATCTTCAGAACATCTAGCAGGCTCTTACCATTCTCAAAGCAAATATATTGTGATGCTCGTTTGTATTGCTTATTAGCATGAATCTCAAATTGGGAAGTTGTAATGACCTACAAAACGAATGTGTTTATGTACACCAGAATATTTCTGATAGAATAACTAGAGATAATAATAGTCAACCTGCATAACGAGTTGCAGAGTAACATATTCTTACATTAGCCCAATCACAGGAGGAACACGAACACAAAATTCCACCATCTGTAATGATGCCACGGAGACCAAAGCCTTGAGACTAAAACATATAAAAAATTCCACTACTTAGATTAAGCTAGAATGTAATGGTCACAAAAGCATACAAAAAAACAAAACAGAATAGTCCAACCTGAGAAGTCCCCATGTAAACCACCGAAACACCATCAAGTATACCGGTCTCAAAAAGTTCCCTCACTGTATCTGGCCTTTTGCGGATTACAGTGGGAATGCCAGCCAGACTCATAGAACGATTCTGTTCATCTAACCCCTCACCATCCAATTCTGATTCTGCCAGAACCTCTGCATCCTTAGGCACAAACCTGTTAACCTTCTTCAGTCTCAAAAGCGATTTACACATCTTTTTTGTACGCTTAAAAGATCCATGCCTATTCGTCTTTGACGCCAAATATGACCCTCCTACTCTCCCTACCTCAAAATTCAAGCTCCCTTCGGGCAAAATCTCTACCGGAATCGCTTCATGTAACAATTCTTCAAACTGTATATCATCAATCACAACATCAACTAATGAGCAACTACTTCCACACTCAGTATCCACTTCTCTGAACTTATCAGCCGCCATAATTTCAGCTAAGCTGCCGGTAACTAACCGCTCTTCCGGATCAGTTCTCTCCACAAGGCTCTCAACAACAGTATTTATAAAGAAAGAACTCTCAGTGAGGTTAGTTTCAGCTAAGCTGCCAGTAACTAAGCACTCTTCCGTATCAGTTCTCTCCACAAGGCTCTCAACAACAGTATCGTTAACGCAAGAACTCTCAGTGATGTTAGGTTCAACTAAGCTGCCACTAACTAACCGCTCTTGCGCAGCAGTTCTCACCACAAGCCTCTCAACAAATGTATTGTTAACGCAAGAGCTCTCAGCGACGTTAATTTCAGCTAAGCTCCCAGTAACTAAGCGCTCTTCCATAGCAGTTCTCTCCACAAGGCTCTCAACAACAGTATGGTTAACGCAAGAACTCGCAGTGACGTTAGTTTCAGCTAAGTTTCCAGTAACTAACCGCTCTTCCGTCTCAGTTCTCTCCAAAAAGCTCTCAACAACTGTATTGTTAACGCAAGAACTCCTAGTGACGTTTGTTTCAGCTAAGCTGTTAGTAACTAACCGCTCTTCCGTATCAGTTCTCTCCACAAGGCTCTCAACAATAGTATTGTTAACGCAAGAACTCTCATTGATGTTAGTTTCAGCTAAGCTCGTAGTAACTAACCGCTCTTCCATAGCAGTTCTCTCCACAAGGCTCTCAACAACAGTATTATTAACGCAAGAACTCTCAGTGACGTTAGTTTCAGCTATTGGATCATTCATTATAACGCCAGCACTCGGTTTCAACTCCTGAAGACTATCTGCGATCCTTATCTCATCTTCTTCGTTAGCCTTAGCCAGTTTATTCCTCTTTGTTCTAGTGTAAACAATAAAACCATTGACTAGCGTCGTTTTGATTCGCTTACAGCCAATCCTACTCCTCTCGCCGCCGTCGGCAGCCATCCGCTTAACGGAACTGATCCCGCCACCGCCGGGAACAAACTCTTCCTTCATAGCAACGAATCTGCTCTACAAAGGACTCTACACAGAGCAGAAAGATGAGATTAATAGAGAAGAAAACAGATTCGTGGAAACGCTTTTAACCTAATCGGAGAAAACCATGGGATGAGAGAGAAACGAATCGGACCTTAGGAGAGTATTCGGCGGAGATATAGCATCTGATTGAATCTGGAGATTTGATGAGTAAATTAGGGTTCAGGGGAGGAGGATCTGTGGGAAGAAGATGAACTCAGAAGTCTCTTTTTGCAGCAGCCATTGGGGAAGAGGATAGCAAGTTACAGTCTAGTACGCAGTGGCAAGTTTTGTAATTATTAATTTTTATGAGGGTATATTGTTTAAGAGAAAATAAAAAAAATAAAGTTGGGCCCAAGGGCCAAGGCCCGGATTTACTGAGACGCAAATAATAGCGTTTTCGTGTTCTTCTGTTTTTCAAAATAATTGCGTTTTTTGTTTTGCCGTTTGTTAACAATTTTGGTTGAAGCGGCTAACTAACATTTGTTTTCTGGATTTGTCCTTCAATGTTAGAATGTTAGAGCAGCAGCATTGAATGTTGTTAGACCAGGTTCACACGCATCCCAAGACGAAAAGGAGTGAACTCGGCTTGTCTCGCCCCTCTGCGGTGAACCCGTTTCACAACTTTTTTGCGGGCCCCACGCCACGTGGCGGCCCGCTATTGGTCCAATTTTAATTTTTTTTTTTTTTTTTTTAGAAAAAGTAAACGAAAAATAATAAAATTTTTTTTAAAAACGCCACGTGTGAACCTGTACCAAGGTTTATTGATGTTGCTGCTCTTAGTACATTTCTATCTTAAAAAGGTTAAAAATGAGACATATTCTGCTATTGTTTGATTTATTTAATTTCTTCCATGTCATATTAGATTGTGTTATGGTTTTAACTAACATCTAACTGTGTCTGTCTTTTTCTTCTTTCATAATCTTTTGACTATTTATTCATCTTCATATATTTTATTAAATGTACGTAAAAATAGTTTATTAATCTAAAAATAATTGGTGTTAAACATACTAATTGGTGGAATCAGTTTAATCATATATATATATATATATATATATATATATTTTCACAACAACACAGTTAGGTTTTGAGCAATTGGTTTTGAGTGATTGTGTTAAGATACAAATCCTTACGTGCCATCACATTCTTATCATGAGTTTAAGCAAGGCTACTACAAAAGATCACCCTTTCGTTCAAAATCTCTTCACTAATTTATTTATAACATAGAATAAAACTCAGTACAAACGTAAGATACTATAAAATTCAGCATCAACTCATGAACTATGGGATAGTAATTATCAGTTTATAAAGATAGCACAAACAAACAGATGCAGACATAATTCAAAGACATAACAAGACAGATAATACAAAACAGAAGAAGTGAACTCTTAACCAACACAAGTTAAACAGAACTCTCCAATGTAAGAAGAAGATACACAAATCTTCAATCAGATAGAGGAAATGCCAAAGGATCCGATCGAGTTGCCCAAATACATAGAAGAACCCGCTGGTTGCAACAACGGGTTCAATCTTCTTGAGGTTCTTCAAGAAGAGCCAACACCACCGTCATGTTTCGGTGTTGTGGAGAGAGGGTTTCATATGATGCTTTTATGCTTTCTTTATAGACTCACTCAGATACATACATCTATAGTGTCCCTCGTACGCTGGCAAAATTTCATGTGATAATATTTAATATTTGAGAAAAACATAAATGAGAAATTGGGAATCTTCCGAGGGATATGCCATATTTTCATTGGCTACCCTTTTCACTTCAGCTCCAATCACACTCCATGAGATTATATATCTTTTGTAATAAAATCATTTTACTTTCTTATCTGGCTTACTTTAAGAAAATGGGATCCAATTTCTTCAGTTGTCTTGTCTAATGTATACACTAATATGAAATTAAACAAACAAAAACAATACGTGTGAAAGGTCACACATTCTATGATGGATCATACGTATGCAATGACTTGACGTACTGCATATTTATATTTTTTTACAAGTAAAATACCTACAAAATATCAAATTGAATAACTAAAATATCGGGTAGCAACTACTTTTTTCTTTTAATTATGGTTCGTATTTAAAACCTACGATATACACATAGTTACGTAAACCATTAAACATCAGACAAATCACCATATATTGTTTACTTCGGTGATGATCAACATGTACATATGTTAATTTTCAAAAACAAAAAAAAACATGTACATATATTGTTGTTGATTCAAGTTAGTAACTTTAGCATGCAGTCAGCGGATGTTTCTATACATATATATCTAGTTTGTTACCTTGATCATTGTTGGTATTTGTAAACGACGGTTTCGTGTTTAAATTCATGACTGTTATAATAAAATTTATAGAATATTTAAGATATCTGAATCGTGAAAAAAAAGCAAAGCAAAAAACAATAACATTTTTTTTTTGAAAATAAATCAATAACATTTTGTCATATGAAAGTAGTGCTCTATACCTAGCAGTAGTGCTATACAACACTGCTATGGATTTAACTTTTCGTCATTGATTTTATAAAAAGAAAATGTATATTGTGTCTTTCCGAAAAATAAACAAATAAATAAATATTGTGAAACTATATAGGACGAGAATTAAGAATCTTCTACTGGATATGCCATATTTCTCCATTGGCTACGTTTTTCTTTTTGTAGCTCCAGCTTCCAGTCGCACATCCATCCATATTTTCCAAATTTGATTTCACTTCCCATAGAGTCTAACGAATTTCTTGCTGCACCATAGTTAATGGACTTTGATATATTATTGGGCCTTCTATAGAGACAATTACAAAGCCCATAGTAACTAGAGAAACTGTGTACAAAACATTCATACTTGTAGCATACGTCAAGATCAAGTTTGTCATGAGGGGGAAAGGGTTATTTTTTATCAAGAAAACAAAACAGAGTGATGGATATGTCAACGAGCTATTTCCCCCTTAGAACTATCATATAACATTAGATATCCACTGAATTATGACTTCGTGTCACATCTACCTGAATTGAAACTTACAAACTTATTTATCTTTGAATCGATAGTTCAAAACTTAATTATCCATATACTATAATTTTCATAGGTTTATTATCTATTATTATAAAGAAGAGTTCCTTCCCTCATATTGTGCCACGTCACTAATTCGTGCTCCAACAACACGCCACGTGTCCCATCTCTATAAACTTTGTGTTTCATTAAGTCATATATTTCGTGTGATTGGGCTTATTCCGTTTGTGTTATTGGGCTTATAGTTTGATGTGGAGATAGCCCGATAGTCTTGCAGAAACAACTCTATTTATGCTTTCACGAAACATGGAAATTTACGGTTATTCTCTCCCCTTTGTTCTGCGGCGACCAAGAAATAATCGTCTGGTTCTCTATTACCTTCCATGGTGTTTTGAGAGATTTTTTGACTCAGATTAATCTTCACTCGCATCTCTTTGTATTCACTTTTAGTAACTGAAACTCTCTGAGATACAAATGCTTCCCTTTTATGGCCTTCTTAAATCCATAGTTAGACGTGAAACACAAACTGACATTGAATGCTATGAGATATTCCTCTGCAACGCGATGTATCAACAACTATAAAATGGTTAGCCTTTTTATTTTACAATAGATCATATATTTTTTTTAAAAACATTAAAATAATATAGTAAATAAATTTACTTATACTAATATATTTACTTTCTAATATCTTAAGTTCACAAACTTCTTATTGAAAATAATAAATTTGATTAAATAAATATTATATAATCCAAAACTATAATAAAACACTTTAGCATGTTATATATAAATAATTGATTTTAAATGAAGTCAGAATATATNTAAGAATTATACTATGCTAATTTCCAAGTATCAATTATTTTAAATCTCTAATCATGGGTTACTTAGATTACGTAATTATTTCATACATCATAATAGTATATTTAATACTCAAACAAAAAATGTATAATTTTAGATAGTAATGCTCACTTTTAATTTTTTATGTAATCTAAACTTGGAGCTGCTTATTAGTTATTACTTATAACTTCATTAAACTTATCGAGCAATTTTCCAAAAACTATCTTTAACTATTACAATAGTTAAATTAAAAAACATTAAAAAGAAAAGTAATATATTCCTTAAAATTTTAATAATTAATAAGTTTATGTTTTTAAAATAAATAGTCAAGTAAATAGATAAATTGTTTTAATAAAAACATGAAAATTAGTTTTAATTTAAGTTAAGAATAAGTTACATTTTAAGTAATTTATATTATTTGTTAATCCGCCCGTAGGGCGGGCCTACCCTAGTTAACCATATATCTTAAACCAGTTAAATAAGTCAATAATCCAATTGTTATCCAAAAAAAATGCTCATACATTATTCATACTCCACAATATCACTACCATCAAAGAAACTTTGAAAACTTTATATTTGAGAGACTTTGAAATTAAAATTTTTGTTTGGTTTTAAAATTGTTTGGTTAACAATAAACTGATTAAACCATTGTTTATGTGTAATTAAGTTCCAAACTATTAATTCGGGAACAAATAAATTTCAAACTATAATTTCGGGGAGAAATAAGTTTATAGCTTATAATTCGGGGAGGTATAGCATGAGTTGATAGTTTGATATATATTTGATGCTATATGATAGTTTTCGTGGGAAAATAATACGTTTATCAAAGTTGAAGTCCCCGAGACCACTTGAGTATCTTTCAACACTCTACTTACCAAAAAATATTTTAAACTTTTTACCAAAAAAATATATAACTGTTTTTTAAATTATTTAAATATGTGATAAAAAAAATTATTTCTATTAGTGTGTATAATTTGATACGAATTCTATTACTCAATTTTACATAACTGAATTTTTTTAACTTTAATAACTGATAAAACATTACATGATAAGGATATAATCAAGAGCAACAATACAATTCACTTTCTTTTTTTTCTTCTTTTGATTGAACAATTCACTTCTGGGATTGTGCTAGTTTCTTTATGTCTTCAATGAAGAATGTGATGCTAGAGTGAGAAGAGCCTCCTTCTTCAACAGCCTTGTGAGCTAATTCTCCAAGCTCTCTAACTCTTTCTCTTCTCTCTTTTGCCTCATCACTCTCACCCAATAAATCTTCCACTGCCTTCTTCACTCCTTCTTTATCCACCAACACTCCTATCTTCTCCTCTTCTCCCCATCTCATAACCTCTTCAACACCAACACTTACACCAGCTTTTAAAACCTCCACGACCAGTTTCTGGTTGCAAAACTGGTCTCCAAACAATGGCCAAGTGATCAATGGAACACCTGAGGTGATCCCTTCAAGAGTCGAGTTCCATCCACAATGTGTTAAGAATCCTCCAACGGCGGGATGTGAAAGGATTAGAATTTGAGGTGACCATCCTTTGATTAGAAGCCCTCTCTCTTTGATTCTTTCTTCGAAACCGCTCTCCAAGAACCACTCAGCTAGCTCATTATACTTTTCCCAACCTCTTATGACCCAGATGAAAGGTCTTTGAGACTCCTCAAGGCCTAGCCCTAGTTCTATGAGCTGAGAAGGAGGAAGATTGCATATACTTCCAAGGCATACATACAGCACTGACCTTTTTTCTTTAGAATCAAGCCATTTAAGACACTCATCTTGATCAATAGCCGCCTTATTTCCCCTTTCAACTTTGTCTACTCCTACCTTGTTGCACAAGGAAACGGGTCCTATTGACCATACTTTACCAGCCCTAGACTCCTTGTAGTCTTTCACATAAGCAGACTCCAACTCTTGAAATGTGTTGATGATTACACCATAGGATGTGTCATCCGCTTCTAGCTGTTCAGCCAATATTTTTTTCCAATCTCCACTAGCATTTGCTATAGTAACTTGAGGCTTTGTAAATTCAACTCTATCAGGAAAATTAGGAACCAAGAAGTACTCTTTGTCCGACTTTAAAGCCTCCAAGATCTCGAGGTTTCTGTGTAGAATATGCATACACAGAAGACTAAAGCTAGATACGCCATGAAAAACAATCTTTGGGATATTGAGTTTCTTGGCGATTTTGCTTGTATAAGGCAAACAAAAGTCAGATATCAGACATGTTGGTTTAGGTTTCATCTCTTCAATGAGCTTCATGACCGTCTCTTCCACCATATTCACCGCTTTAAAGAAAGGTATGATCAACTCCATTGAGTCAAGCGAGTCTACGTTTTCGTGTTCTTCACGCAAACCAACTTCTTGAAATGGAATCTTCACATGCTGCAACCTAATGGGCAAGCCGGACTGGATGGCTCGGCTTAGAACGTTCTTGAACCTCGCTTCGTTGTGAGGAGTTGTGACAATTGTTATGGTCACACCACGCTGAGCCAAGAGCCTTGCAATATCAACCATGGGGATCATGTGGCCTTGAGCCATGAAAGGGAAGAGAACAAAGTGAAGAGGAGGATGAAGTTGTTGGTTTGTTGTTTCGGAAGCCATGAGGAACTCTCTCTAAATTTTTTTTTCTTTGCTTTGATTTGGATGGTGTGAGTGTCTATATTTGTCTTTGCATAAATATACAGATATATATTGACTCGAGAGAAGGAAAATAACTTGGAGGACAAGAAAATAATAAAAAAACGACGTGTTCCTGAATCTTGACCAAAAGAAAAAAAAAAAAAGAATACATTTCGTGGCGGGCACTCGTGTTTTTTGTTTTGTTTTCATATAGGCACACAGAATAAGGAAAATATTTTTGGAACTACGTCGAAAATAAAGAGATTATTCGGACAGCGTATTCTAGAGTATCTAGGTATAGGTTGGAGTGTATACTAATATATATCAAACAGATACGTATACGAATGTGACAAAAACGTAAGATAGGGGCCTAGTAAAATGCACATTATTGACAAAAAGAACCTGATGTTGATATATTCACATGTCTATCAGTCTATGTCCCATTCTCCATTTTTATTCTTATTTTTTCTTTTCCTCTCAAGTATTCAAACAACTAGGGGTGGGCACGGATCGGATATCCGAGTTTTTTAAGGTATTTGTGATTTGCTTCGAATGTTACGGATATCTAATTTTGGTATTTGCTTTGCTTCGAAAAAATACGGATATCCGGAAAAACGGATATCCGAAAAATAAATAGATATTTGCGGATATTTATAAATATTAACGGATATCCCATCCATTTTGATTAATATAAATAATCTTAAGATTTTGATACAAATTTGCTTTGCAAAAATATTTTTTGCATGATATATAAAATAAAAATTAAAAGAACTAGTGAATTTACATATTTTGTATTTTTTTAAGTTTAACTTACAATTATAATAACACAAAATTTAAGAAAAATATATAATTGTCATAAAATGTTTCTCTTTTTTATGTAATACTTTTATATAAGTAATAATGTGAATAGAATTTTTCAAAATCATGTGCTAGAATAATAACTATATAATTTTATACATTTAAAATTTTAAATATAATCAAGATATACATATATTTATATATTTACGGATCGGATCGGATATCCGCTTCCAAAATTTTTAATATTTGTGATTTGCTTCGATTTTAACGAATATTGAATTTTAGTATTTGTTTTGATTCGAAAGTTTACGGATATCCGGAATTTTCGGATCGAACCGAAACGAATAACGAATCGAATCAAATATAACGGATAAAATGCACAGCCCTACAAACAACATTTAAATTCATCTGACCGAAACTCATAAAGTAGCTATAAAAATTAAAATACGTTTATAATAGATGTTTCATGTGAAAAATATATACTTTTTTTTGAACGACAGATGATTTTCATTAATTAAGCAAAGGAAGACAAAAGAAAAGGTTCAAGCCCACAAAGGAGACTAGCCCAACAACTGAAAAGTAGAAGAGAGATGGGCCTTAAGGGCCAACTTTTCTAAAAGATCAGCCTCTTTGTTCTGGGAACGAGGAAGAAACTGAAACGAGATAGAGACGAAGTGAGATGAGAGCAAAGCGATATCCTGGAGGATACCGTAGAGTTCCTTTATCTGACTTCTCATAGAGATTGCTCTGATGAGCGTTGCGCAATCGGATTTGAAGATGATTGAAGAGATGCCTAGGTCGATCGTCTTACGGATTCCCAAGCAGAGAGCAAGGGCTTCCCCGACGAGGGGGGATTCGACGCCATCGATGATCTGTGATCCAGAGATCCCGTGAGCCGCCACTTCCCAATCCAGCTTCCAAGCTAAACCTGCTTGTTTTGTAGCCGTATCCCAGGCAGCATCGACACAACAAATCGGCGTAGGAGGGTTGCTTGATCCTCGAGGAAGGCTTCTTGTAGAAGGTAGTTGAATACTCTGTGTCGGTTTTTTGAGCACTTGGGCTTGATCCCATTCTCTGGCAGCTGAGATTGCTTTTGTTGCAACCTCCTCTGGTTTGGTTAATTTATTCTCAAAAATTAAACTGTTTCTGGCTAACCACAGGGACCAACAAAACCACGGGAGGATGGGAACTGTGATTCCTGTTGGGGGGAGACATAGAGATTGACGGAATAGAAGCAGCACTGTCTCAAAGTCTGTAGCATCAGCTATGTGAACTGATTGGTGAACCGGAGCAGACCGCCATACCTCTTTGGCGAAAGGGCACATGAAGAAGGCATGAAGTGTTGTTTCCTCTTCATTGCAGCGAGGACACAAGGACGCAGAGAGCAAACCTCTATGCTGTAATTCAACTCCTAAAGGTAGCGCACCTTTCAAAATTAACCAGAGAAATAGCTTGAGTTTTGGAGCTGTTTTACAATTCCATACGTCTTTGTACCAGTTAAAAGCTAGCACAGAGGGGGGAATGAGCGTTGTCTGAAGTGGCTGAGGGTTATTAAGTTGAGCTTGTGAGTTATACCCTGATTTTGCCGTGTAAGAGCCCGTCTGCGTAGGGAGCCAAATGAAAGCATCCTCCGCTCCCTCCCTGCTTGGTTTCAAACACAGAATCTGCGTACTGAAATCAGGTAATAATTCATCTATCCTTTTTTTGTTCCAAAGGAGGTCATCAGTTAGTAAGTCCGATACACGGAGGTCTAACGCTGATTCATGGACAGGTCCATGAGGTTTGACCTGATCAGCAACAGAGATCCAGGAGTCACTCCAGATTTTTGTATTTTGTCCGTTTCCTATTGCCTTGCCCAGATTTTGTTGAAGTAAATCTCTTCCATGGAGGATACTCCTCCAACCATGGGAACAGACAGATGGTAGCTGAGCATTGAGGAAGCTTTTTTTATGGCAGTACTTGTCAGAAAGGACTCGCGCAAGGAGACAGCTAGGTGATGTAAGGATTCTCCATGCTACCTTAGCTAACAATGCCTGATTGAAAAGCTGAATGTCTCTTAAACCTAAGCCTCATGCAGACTTAGGTTTTGTTAATTTTTCCCAAGCCACCCAACACATGCTCTTCTTATCTGCAGATTTATCCCACCAGAAACGAGTCAAGGTGGATTGGATTCTGTTACAGAGGCTGACTGGTAGCTGGAAGCAGGACATAGCATATGTCGGGATTGCAGTGAGCATCGATTGAAGCATAGTTAACTTCCCTGCTCTAGATAGGAAACGCGTAGACCAATTCGCTGCTTTCTGCTTGATCCTATCAACAATAGAGGTAAACACATCCTTTTTCTTTTTTCCGAAAAGTTCTGACAGCCCCAAATACTTTCCTACACCTTCTTCTTTTTGTATCCCTAGGATGTTTTTCGCATTAGTTCTTATCTCTGGAGGAGTCTTTGAAGAGAAAGTGATGGAGGATTTTGCAATATTAACTTTTTGACCTGAGACCTTTTCATAATCTTGTAGGATGGTGATGAGAGCCTGGCAGCTAGTCTCAGAGGATTCGCAGAAGATCATTGTGTCATCTGCGAACAACAGATGATTCACACGGGGACTACCACGCGCCACCCTGATGCCTCGCATAGTGCCATCGAGAGCTGCTTTCCTACACAAGCCTGAGAGGACCTCTCCGCATAGGATGAAAAATATATACTAAATGCCATAAAAAGAACGAAAAAATGAGAGGGAACACCATAATTTTCGCCTTCACTAACATTTTCTACGTCATTGTTACTACGACGTAGTTCGTAGATATACCGACAGGAAGCAAAGTGGCGTATTGCTTACAAAACACATAGCGACAAGTATACGTTCCGTGGCGGCCACTCACATGTGTTCTTTTGTCCTCATAAGCCCCAACCAAATAAGAGAAATATCAATAAGAATTACGTCGAAAATAAAGTGAAAGTAACAGTCGCAAAAAAAAAACAAATATATGAAAAAACATATTTTAGACTCTCTATTATCTCTTTGGACAACTACATACTAAAAATTACAAATAACATATTTAAAAACAAGGAGCTAAAATATATTTTAACCGTCTTTGGTAACAAATTAGTATAAAGCTTCATGCTGTGCCATGGGGAAATGGTTCCTTATGACATTTACACGATAAACAAAAGAAGCAGTATCAAAGTTGAATTCTTCAGGAGTCAGGACCACCACAACAGGTTTCTACACTCTACTACACTTACAAAAACTATCAGAAAATAAGTAAATATTAAAACGATGAACAGCAACAAACAAATTTTGTAGACAAATTAAATTACATATTTCATTGAAACCTTGGTTTCGTCACGGGGGGATAAAAATCAACCGTATAGTTATCGTGAATGAAGTGGGTCTTTCCTTTTTTTTTTTACTTCTAACTGGTTTACGTAATTTCAATACAAAATAATACGAATTTGATAGCTGAATCTTGATTAATTAATTACTAACATACAACATGAGTAGATGATCCGGTCAAGAGCAACGACACAAATTAATTCTTGATTTGTGCTTGTTGCATTATGTCTTGTAAGAGTAAAGTAATGTTGGAATGAGAAGAGCCTCCTTCATCAACAGCCTTGTGAGCTAACTCTCCAAGCTCTTTGACTCTTTCTCTTCTCTCTATAGCTTCATCACTGTCACCCATCAATGCCTCCACTGCCTTCTTCACTCCTTCCTTATCCACCAACACTCCTATCTTCTCCTCTTCTCCCCATCTCATTGAATCTTCAACACCAGCTCTCACACCAACTTTTAACACCTGAACCGCCAGTTTCTCATTGCAGAACTGGTCTCCAAACAATGGCCATGTCAGCAATGGAACCCCTGAAGTGATTCCTTCAAGAGTTGAGTTCCATCCACAGTGTGTCAAGAATCCTCCCACAGCAGGATGTGAAAGGATAAGCATTTGAGGTGACCATCCTCTTATGAGAAGACCTCTTTCTTTGATTCTTTCCTTAAACCCACTCTCTGAAAGCCACTCAAGTAACTCATCATACTTCTCCCAACCTCTTATGACCCATATGAAAGGTCTTTGAGACTCCTCTAAGCCAAGCCCTAGCTCTTTGAGCTGAGACAAAGGAAGATTACATATACTTCCAAGGCAAATGTATAGCACTGACCCTTCTTCTTTAGAATCAAGCCATCTAACACACTCATCTTGATCAATGGCAGCCTTATTCCCCCTCTCAGCTAGGTCCACTTCTTCCTTGTTGCACAAGGAAACCGGTCCGATGCTCCATACCTTACCTGCCTTAACCTTCTTGTAGTCTCTAACATAAGCTGGCTCCAGCTCTTCAAAAGTATTAACAATCACACCATAAGAAGTGTTATCACCTTCTTCCATTCCATCTAAAATCTCTTTCCAAACTCCAACACCATGTGTGATCATTGGAATCTGAGATTTTGTGAACTCAACTTTGTCAGGAAAATTTGGAATGGCGAAGTACTCTTTATCAGACTCTATACTCTATAGTATCCAAAAACTCGTAGTGTTGCCGCATGATGTGCGTACAAAGAAGATTGAAGCAACACATGCCGTGGAAGATGATCTTTGGTATACCAAAGTTCTTGGCGATTCTGTTTGTAAAAGGCAAACACATGTCGGCTATTATGCAGTTTGGTTTAGGTTCAACCTCTTTCAAGAGCTTCTCCACCGGTTCCTCGAGCATCTTAATGGATTTGAAGAAAGGCATTGATGCTCCCAATGAATCTAGCAAGTCTAAATTCTCATGTCCTTCTGATGAACTCGATTCTTGAGATGGAAACTTCACCTGGACAAGATTGATGGGCAGACCAGACTTGATGGCACGGTTAAGAACGTTCTTGAACCGGTCAGCGTTGTGAGGGGTAGTGACAATGGTTATAGTCACACCACGCTGAGCCAAGAGCCTTGCAATATCGACCATTGGGATCATGTGGCCTTGAGACATGAAAGGGAAGAGAATAAAGTGAAGAGGAGGAGGACATTGTTGGGTTGTTTCAGAAGCCATGAGAGACTAGACTCTTTAAGTTATTTTCTGCTTTTGGTTTGGTTGTGTGGCTGTAAATTTGTGTATTCTTACATATATACATGGTGATGTAAGAGAGAACACATGCAAATTGGCGTTACTATGAACAACACTCATCAGGGTTCACAGAGATTAGTACTGAACATTTCGTGGAGGGGACACATGTGTTCTTAAATGTTCTTTTGTATTCATGTAACTATAAGCCAAAAAGAATTAGAGAAATGTTCTTGAGAACTACGTTGAAAAATATTGTGGAGAGTTCTCAGCCGCAAATACAAATTTTGGATAAAGATTAAAAAAAAGAGAAATCAAAGTTGACTCTCGAGTACTCTCTATAGACAACTGCCTACAGTATTTACAACAAACCTCAAAACATCAACAAAAAGCCCTTAAACTACTTAGAATATTTATATTCAAAATATATCAAAGTATGTTAGACAAAGATGTTATTAAACAACAATGTAATCAATTTTTGAATTTCACTTGTTGCATAATGTTTTCTAAGAGAAAATAGATGTTAGAATGAGAAGAGCCACCTTCTTCCACAGCCTTGTGAGCTAAAACATCAAAAGCTCTTTAGCTCTTATTCTTCTCTCTTTTGCACCATCACTCTCACTCTCACCCATTAGTTCTTCCACTGGCTTTACCCCTCCCTCATCCACCAACACTCCTATCTTATCCTCTTTCCCCCAGTTCATAGGCTTCTCAACCCCAACTTTCACACCAGCTTTAAGTACCTGCAACACTAATTTCTCGTTGCAGAATTGGTCTGCCAATAAATACTACAGCACGTTTAAAACATTTTTGAACCTCCAAGCATTGTGAGACGTGACAATTGTTATGGTCACACCGCACTGAGCATTGTGAGACATGTGACAATTGTTATGGTGACTGAGTGACTCACACCGCACTGAGCCAAGAGCCTTGCAATATCGACCATGTGAATCATGTGGCTTTGAGCCATGTAAAGGGAATAGAACAAAGGGAAGAAGAGTATAAGCTTTGTTGGCTGTTTTTTGGAACCTATGCTGCTTCAACGCTAATAATATATGAAGTTTTTACCACACTACTGCAACTCTTTAGAAATACATAAAAGGCACAAAAATTAGTATCAACCCCAACAAATAAAATTGAATTTGTGTTTGAAACTTTAAAGATCGATCAAATAAAAACAATACATGAAGATAGATCAAGTTTTGGACACTTTCAAAACAACTATATACCAGAAGCTTCGGAAACCACAATCAATAAAAGAGGAACAAAAAGGTCCAGAGCCTACAACAATTCGTGTAATGAGTTCGGTAATGAAGATGACCACACTAGTCGCTTCTTTACAAGATGAAAACATAAAACACTTTACAACAAACACACAAACCTGACGGGTTTCACGTTGCACACTGTCCCTATTGATATATATCTCGCAAACCCTCCAGATTATGTTGGCAGTAACTGGTTGGTATATTCACACAGACCGCAATAGACAGTGTTATTTCTTAGCAGACTCGGGATCATTGGATTTTCTACCTGAGTCAGTCCGATCAAGTCGAGCTCCTCTCCACAATGTTGACTTGGTTGATCTTAGAAGCAACCCAAAGGCTGATGAGCATGCCGCTCTCACAACTGAATCTTGTGACCGGGTCATCTTGTTAACCAACGTTTCAAACACCTGAACAACAGACGGGTTTGAGAAACTTTAAATAACTTATGAGAATGTCATATGTGGTTTCTCTAATATACCTGTGGATAGTAGTGAGAGAATATATGATGATCCTCTGAGAGTGATAACATGGTGGTGGAGAAGTGTATTGCGTTTGCCTGAATTACTGGCCACGGTGCATCAAAAGCCTGCACCCGGTCGTTGTCACTTCAGTTTTCGATATATATAGTTTATATATGTCACAATATAGATGATTAGTTCCTTGGAAAACAGAACCTGGATGGTTGAGGCCATGTAAGTATCAACTCTTTCCGACTCATGAACCAAGTGTCTAGAGAGTTCTCTTACGAAGTTTTCATAGTCATTTCTAAAAATATAAACAATTTTAGAAGATAAAGGAGATCATTTTGCACAAAAGAGATTTGGTGCTCGTAGGACATACCTATCGTCAGAACCAAAAGCACGTGAATCATACAGCGTAGAATGATTTTGTATGTCCATGAGTGGAGCAAACTGCTTGAGGGTTACCTATTCGAACAATGGCATATATGATAGATTTAAAGTTTCCTCAAACCAGGCAAAGGAGTAATAGGCAATTAAGAAAATTACCCGACAAGCCTGTCTTATGCTAGGATCATCGTCATAGAGGTGTACTACCAAGCGGGGAAGGGTGGAATGAATCTGTAATTAGACATAATCATCCAATGAGCTCTATATTAAAGCTGAGATAGCTTCTATTATCATTGAAAATGAAACGAAAAGGATAATGTGTCACCTGCTCAACAAATCCCTCCCGTTGCCCTCCAGTAGCATATTTACTTAATGCTCCAAAAGCTGCAAATGCGTTGGCTCTCATCTTCGGGTCCATGCTAACCTGTTAGAAATTAGAATTAAAAAAGTTATGGCAAAGCACTACCATTAGAAACAATGTACCTAGCAGTTTAGTAAGCCTAAACTATTATCTCGTATTTGTTTCAGATGAACTTACCTGAAGGTTACGAAGCCGAACGGATAAATTCAACAAGATAGGTTCAACAGCATCATTAGATGCTGACTCGGTGACCTAACCAAAGGAAAACAAGCACATAGAGTTCAAGTAAATTGCATAAACCTCTGACATACAGAGTTCAGAAATGTTTTTAACGGGTATGAGCATTACCATCAATAAGCATGACACAGCAGTTAGTTGCACTGACTCATCCAAATCGTCGAGCAACGCTAATATTACACCAATAACTTGAGTTGTGTAGTGGTTCATACAAGCAGATGGCATCTGGAAGAACACCCAAAATCAACTAAGTTATACATTCCCGAATAATTTGTTTCGAATCGAATAAATTTCCCGAACTACCATATTCCAAAGACTGGTCATCTATCCTTTAGTATATGTTTCAAGTAACTTTCAAATGCTATGAATATGTGCATAAACTTGTTTTACTTAGCTGAAGATAACACAAACCTCCATGGTTAATAAATTACGGTTCTTAAGATATTAATTGTTGATCTGACACCGTTATCATAATCTAACAGGAACATACTTTCTGGTCAACCTACTTGCAGTTGGTGATAAGTAAATAAAAGCTGCTCCGCGTAACTCTTTCTTGTACTAATCCTCTTACAAAATCAAGTTAGATATTTAAAAAGTACTCAGAATAATTCTTACCTGCACTAATCCTCTCAGACAAAGGCGCCTTACAGTCGGAGAATCATCTGACACATGGCGGCAGAGTGCTTCGACCATCTCCTCCATCACAGAACTAAAATCACCACTGCAACTCAGAAATGTTAGCAGAAGAAACTTAAAAAAAATGAAGTTGTAAGGACACCGAAAACATTATACCTGTAGCGTATGAACTCAGACAATGCAGCCGCAGCAGCTTCCCTTTGGAATCTTTGTGGACGGTTTAGTGCTTTCGTTAGAATTATGCAAATATGTTGAACCTGTAACACCAGTACTGAAAAAATTAAGTTCTCAGTCTGAGGGGAAACTGTAACTTTGGATTTCTTGTACGCTACTCTGCTAAGAAAGGGTTCAGCAACAAGAAGTTCAGACTTCAGATGCGTAAGCCACCAAGTCAGCCAGGCTGTGTTTAAGAATAGTTTAATGTCATTCTTTTCAGACAGAAAGAATCTCTCATGTGTACTTAATTACTATGCTCATATCTCCACATCCATGACATCCCGAGAAGAATGGTCAAGAGAATATACATGTTGCCACAATTGACTCAAGTAATGAACCAAAGATCAATTAGTGAAGCACAACAGTTAGGGTACATATAACTAGGTACCTCCTTTGGTCTCTTTATTGAAATGCATCCAGCAATATCGCCAATAAGATCAACCCACTTTTCTTTCTCTCTCTGCTCTCCATTACGAGCCAAAATCTAAGCAAAGACAAGTATCAGGTCATCATACTGGAAACTAACCAGAACCAACTTTAGGTTAAAGTCAAAAAGTACCTTGCCCATCTCTAAATCACCAACACACTCACAGAAAGCCTGGAATGAAGTCAGAAGTACTCTGCCAAGAAGGAAACAAATATTACAAAGGCATCACTACCAATTGTTACCGACTCTTGAAAGTAGGAGAGTTACCGTAATGGATCTTGCTGACCAGTGCTTGCAAGTCCATGGCAGCTTCCTAATTGAAGAGTAAGTGCCCCAAGGACGGAAGAGTAGCTTTTCTCAACAGCTTTCTTTCCAATTTTTCCGCCACCTCTGGTTAATTTAGTATATCAGCCACCAAAATGCATCACATATACACAAGTTAATTTGATGGTTTATGAAACGAACCTAAAGAAAGCAGTCAGAGCAAAAATGGCAGCTTGAAGTAATTCATCTTCTACATGTGTTTCAGAAGAAGAGCTTGTACTATCTCCCTTATGTGAATCACCTTTAACTAAAGAACTCCGATTGAGAACAGATATCAAGTGTTCCATGAACGAAACTGAAAGCTCTGTATGTTGAGAAAAAGCCTGCATCAAAATTTGATACAAGGGTCACATGATACTTCTTTTTTACTAGGAGATTGTTAACCTGCCTGAGCATTACTAGTCAGGAAAAAGCATATTATTATAATTAACCCACCCGCAGGCACAATCACACTTCTATGAAGATTTGCCATGTGATGTTATTAACTCTCTCAAGATGAGATAACCATGAAAGAAAAGTATCGTCTCATACTATATTACAGCTCGGAGAGAATGCTACTTACATAAAATGCATCTTGCATTGGCCAGCCACCACGCATCCTAGTTATGTCCTTTGTCACGATGTCCTTTCCAGCAGCAGCCAACACTTCACTAAACACGATCGATGATTGTGTGTTCTCTGCCAGTGCAGAGATCTTCATGTGATTAAGGTAAGCAGTATTACACCAGGAGAATACAAGATAAAAGCTAGTGAGGTATATAGTACAGCAGTGTCAAATTTATGTGCAAATTGACTATGCTAACGGAATTAAGAGAAGGATACCGCTCCAATAGCTTCAACACGTAAATTCTTCTCAGTTATATGAACTGCTGCCGAGAGCAAGGACTGAGTCGTCCTGCAAGAAGAGATTTAAAATTAAGAAAAGGGAAATGAGGTCGTCAAATAAAAATGTAAATAAAGGGACTATAGCACATCTACGACAACGAACTTTGTTGTACCTTGAAATATCATTGTCATTAAGCTGACTCCCTCTTCTTGAAACAAACTCAATAACCGCTTGAATGGCTCCCTCCGCAGATTGCCTGATTTTGTCACATATAGCCGCAGTGGAGCTGTGCAAGGCAGCTACGAGCTACATGACATAGCACAACCTAATGAAACCTCAACCATCCAATGACACCAGAAATTATACAAAAGAAGGAAGAAAACAAACCTCATCCACCGTTAAAAGAGCACAAATGGATGAAACAATTCTGTTAAAAACTTCCGATGGATCAATAGAGGCATCCTGAAAGTTGGTTCAAAGAAACCTGACACCCTGAGTATGAAGCATCACAAAAATATAATGGATAATACTCTTGAGCCTAACCGCGACGTTCTTACACTTTTCAAAATGGCAATGACATCCTCAAGCGAAGACAAGGCTTTATAGGATTCTTCAGAATCCAACCCACTTGAGAGTGCAGCTTTTGGAAGGGAAAGGGAAATGCTGAAGAACTGGTCAAGAATCTAACAATAATAGTAGTATGAGAAAGCATTAGTTATTATCATAATCATACTCACATGAATTGATCCCCCACTATTTTGTGATACAGTTGATCAGGATTAGTACAAATCAAATACCTGTGCAGAAATTTTCCGAACTTCAGAATTTGTATCAGCACAGCGTGGCAGATAGGTTATCACCCTATCTCCCAAACACAATACCTCGCGGTCAGGAAATAAAAATACCGCTATTGTTCAAACAAAAACAAGAATTAATTAGATGGTGTATGGAATAGATAGAAAAAGTGGGTTTAAGGATATCTTCATACTTGGTAGATTTGAAAAATTCCCATGCATACTGCGGTCTACATACTTTCTGTGTGGGCAATCCCCAGAACAGCCAAGAGCACAGTAGCCAGCAACACAAAGCTTACGAAACTTTAGAAGCATCTCATGAACTGCCATACAACCTCTTTTTCTTTGATAGTCAACGGGTGACGAAACATATTGATCAAGCTGTCTAAGCAGATGCAAAAGCTGCTCAGCTCGACTTCTGCCATCCTCTCCACTAGTTCATGCACATATCATTAAATTACGAAAAATACTTTCAAATTTGCACTTAAGGTATGACTCAATATTTGATATTAGCACAAACTCCCTACCATAATCATTGAGTCAATATAACAGAGGTAACTTATGCATGGTAATAAAAAGTTACAACATATCAAATGAATTGATAAGAGAATGTCAATTAGAAATTATGAATCTAGAAATGGAAAGTACTATAGTTACAAACTGAAAGAAGATAGACCATGGAAAATAATTCATCAACGGAAATGATAAACAGATCAAAAAGCGACTTCCTACAAACCTGACCAAAGATTCAGAAAATCTAGAGCCTCATAAATACCTCGTAAGGAGGATGGCACACAAAAGAGACACAAGATTGTCTATAAGGGGACCTATGACATCTGATGGATCATTAGGCAAAGCAAAGAATCCCAACGTAGCCTGTTCAAGAAAACGAGTATAAAGAGAGAATATAAATAGATAATAATGACATTTCTCTAATTAATTTCCTTTTAGACGATTCAAACCAGACACTATTCACCTTCATGACACGATTTCGAGTTTCAATGGTCAGCTTCGGTTCGACAGAGACCAGGGTTGTGCAGGCATTTAGAGCAAGTGCCTGAACAAGATTTTAGTCAGAAAGAGAAATGATATTTGCTTGTCTGAAAGAAAATCCCCACGGTACAGATTCTCGCCGAAGATTATCATACCTGAGTGTGTAAAAGTTCAAGACTAGATTCTGCAAAACCTTCATTTTCATCTCGACCCATCAAAGTCAATACATAATCAAGCATCATATCTCTTCTTTTCAATGGAAATTTAGCACCACTTTCTGAAGCATTTATGACAGCACGACCTTCAAACAAAGACACGTGAGATCAGAGTCCTACCACTATACACAAACCACGTTGGGCGCTCTAATTTAATAGAAAAACTCAAAAAGAGAAGAAATCAGTCCGTTATCTAAAAAATTACTCATCATCTGTAATTTTAACGCCGACTAACCTAACAAATCAATAGCAGTTATAACAGCTTGTTTTGCTGTTTGCTGTCGCACATGAAGAAGCCGTGAGAGCATATTCGTGCCCTGCATTAAGCAAAATGAAATATGATTATGAAACTGAAAATTGAGAATAAAAGTGGTGCAAAACATTTTTAACAAGGTCTCTACAATTTGACATAAGTCACTGTTTGGTTACAGAAAATTATTAAGACTCCCAACTCTTAATTCTATATTTAATTTCATTGGATGAACTTTCCTAGCGTATGACTTAAAATCAATCTGAAGCATAAGTTTAGAACATATTGTGACAGACAAAGCAGGACAGTTAGTGGATGATTATACCATAAATAGAAATGAAAAATTATAGTGAAAGTTAAAAGACATACGACAAGTGCATCTATTCTGGCCTCAATAACCGACGAGGGGGCATATTTCGCGGCATATCCATACATCAAAGCCAAAGCAGCATGTATATCATCACTGTCTTCTGTTTTATAGCTCTCAGAGAAGAGAGATAAGATCCTAAAATTGACACAGGAACATTAAGTCAGTTCTATGACATTAATTTCACAAACCTGTGGCAAAAGTGACCAATTCTAGAATACCTGGAAGCAACAATATGACAAATGAAGGAACTAGTTATCTATATCAGGAAACCATTTACAACATTTTCTGCATGCGCACTTTAAAATCCACTTAATATGCACATAAAGAAAACTAAGAATAGTTAGCTAGAATTTTTATAAACCTTCAAGAAACAAACTTCCACTACTAAAATAAATATGATAAACGAGAGAAGTAAAGTAATATATTCAACAGTTAGTGACAAATATGCAGGCATGTCTAGATTTTAGCACTAGAAAGTGTAGTGGCGATAACTCAATTAAGTTAAGCAAGATAAACCTTTGGAAAATACTCTGCCCAACATTATCCAAAATCACTTTGAGCTTTTCCAGAACAGTGTCCAAGTGAGAAGCAGCGACCTAAGCAATCAATTAGCATATTAATATAGGCTGAAAATCAAGACTTGAGCAAGAAAAAATACAAGTACACTCAAATTACCAGCCCCATAGCCTTCGCTAAGCCAAGTCTATTTGCAGGTATAGAAATGTCAGCCTGTTCATACATCCAGTCAATCTTGTCACGAACATATGATCTATCATTAACTTTCTGGAGAAGTATACCCATACACCTAAAATCAAAGCACAAGAGGTTTATAACACAGTTCTGCGAACATTAACAAGCTTGTTTAGACAAATAGTGAAGTACACAAAGAACGTATATATCCAATTATACAAAGATAAATCAAAAATAGGCACCGGCATGTCTCTCCCGTTACAAACTTTGATGATATGGTAACGGGAAATCAGAAAATCACTAGATTAAAAAAAAAAAAAAAACAGGAAGCAAATGTCTATCAAGGATTATAATTAGATCTACTGCGCGACACAAATGTCAGAAGAAAACAACAGCCCCAGCAAAACATTGTGCTCAACAACAAACGTCAAAATGGTCAACGAGTTGAGATGCTTCAACTTCAACCAGAGATCATAACATAATGAAAAACCAAGAGTTTACCGGTGTAGAAGTGCTGCATGGTCATCATCCGGAGTATAAAGATTGTATTGTTTTGCAAAAGCATTTCCAAGAGATATAACCCAGTCAGCATCGTGGGTGACATCAAGTGATTCTGCTAAGAACTGATGGATAATAGAACAACGATCAGAATTAATGCATCGAACAAGTATTATCAAATTTCCTTAAGCTTAGGATTTAAAAAAAAAATACTTAGGCACAGAAGGATGCCAGTTGAATAAGCTTACATTGATTATCATGTCATCCCAATTTTCCTGGTAAGATGGATCAAGCTTCAGGTCTTCTGTGTCAAAGACATACGCCTTCATTTTTGGAATCTAAAGCTTACCAAATGTGAGAAATAAATTGGGTCATATCCACAGGAAATATGATGCAGAAAACAAAGATATTAGAAATCTACGGTGCAATATGAGCATATATTGCTCTCTAGTAGCTGATAGGCAACCACATAATATAAGAATATTAATCTTGAGTTAAGTAGCAAACACCAGTGTACCTCATCTTGCCAAAACATGCTTATGTTCTTTGGAAAGAGAGGGGACAGATAGCCAAGGACCTGAAGGTAGTAATAACAGAGTAGTTAAAATAAAGACAGAACTTAAAAGATTCAATACTCTGGTTTGAGAAGACGAAGCACATATGAGCTATTAAAAACAGTTGGCGCTATAACGATCAAGCATACACTTGATGTAAAAGGTTATACCGTCAAAATTTGGGTTGCTAACTGCTCTTTTGCCAGAGGATTATGCAAAAGAACCACCAAACGAGTAAACAACTCCTGCATTTATAAAATATGTGCATACATGTTTTCAGTTTTGAGATTAGACAACAAAGCTTTAGATCATTTGACATGACGCAATAACAAATTCACCTCGGGGCTTGGAAGATCAGCACGAGCTTTACACTCAATCAACATGGGGGTCGTTGAAGATCTACGACGACACAATTCAGATATGCATCTACACACCTATCAAATTAAATCAATGAAATTTAGGTCTAATCGCTGATAAAACAAATAGATAAAGTAAAAATATGCAGCAAAAGAATATCTTACTGTTGCAACACCGCCAGTGTAAACCTTAGGGATTATCATTTTCAGTAGGAAAGGCCAAAGAATGTACTGCAATATTCAAATCCTTTTTAGCATTAGAGTCTGAAACTTTTTAGAAAATGGGATAATTCTTTTTTAAAAGACAGCACCTCCATCTCTGGGATTGTAACGGTCAAGAGCAGAAGACCTTTTCCACAAACTGCTCTTAGCTGTGTTGGACTAATTGCCTCCCCTTTTGCCTAAGAGAAATATTTCTACCTCACGTAAATTTCTAGGAAGTAAAGTAGTAAGTAGTAACAGAGGTAAAACTTCAAACTCGTTCAGGCTATGTACTCAATACAACCCTAGCATATGTACAGTAGTACGAAGATTCTATAATACACAACTTGGAGCAAGATAACAACTATGGTCATGGTCTTACCTTCAGATTATCATTCTCTCTTATTGCAGAATGGCGTACAAGGTATTCAACAAATAATTCCCCAGATGGACCGACCAGATAGCAATGTGAAGCCATGACCACGATCAACTGTATCAGTGCAGAACAACAAAATGAGACAAGGGGTCATGCTAAGCATGCATATTTTAGTGTTAAAAACAACATTATCTGCCAGCTCAGTACCTCTGAGAGAGCTTTTCGAACAGCTAAACTTTGCTCATCTAACAAAGACCTTGCAGCCTCAATCAAAAGAAGCCGTTTTGAGTGCCAAGCTTCACATAACCTCCGAACACAATGCAACGTCATTGAGATGGGAAATCAACTCTAAATGAATACGTTATACTGATGAAGGATAAAGAAATACACCTCGGAAGCAGATGTTTCAAAACACAGAGAGCACCAAAAGTCAAAAGGTCTTCTTTCAACTTGCATTTCTGGTAAACAATATAAGAAGTCAGGGATTTCAAATTCTACTTCGACATGATTAAGCAGTATAAAGTATCGCATAGAAGCGTTCGAAGGAATAGTTCTTGTCAGGTATTTCCACAGTTCCCAGTGTATATATAAAGAATATCTAAAACCACATCCATCAAACAAAGTGTGTCCGTACATTAAGAAGAAATGTAAACAAATCCTCGGGGTAAACCAAGCCAACAGTCAGAAAACACCGCTGCACTTCATTGTATGCCTGCAACACAGATGAATAACAGGCAAATGATTTGTACACAACACTTCCAAAATAAAGTATACAAAAATGGAAGAGGCCTGAAACATTGTAAATGCATAGAATGGAAGCGACCAGTGTTACCTTTCGTCCCAGTGAACTACCTGAGTGCCTTTTGTTTTCACTATTCATACTGATCACAGGAATAAGTGTTGACAGAACAAATGTAAGGTCCTGAAAGGAAGCAAAACTTAGCTGAAACACAACATAATAATTTTTTTCTATCTTTCTAATTCCAAGCATAAAGCATCTATAAAACGATTTTGCAGATGACTGGAGACAATGAGGCACCTTAGCAACAAAAAAAAGAAGAAGATCGAAACACCATTACCTCAAACTCAAGCAGTGGAGGACCAGTCTCAGAAAGTAATGCGGCATTTAATAGGTTGTAAAGACTACATGTCGCCAAAAGAGCATCGTCGTGATCTTTCTTATACCTAAAAAGTTTACATGATAAGATTGAATAATCGCTACATTTAGAAGAACGACACAAGTCTACACAAAACTCGTCTCATGCTTAGCAAATATTTATTTCTAACTTAACATTAGTGGGACAATATCTGAACTCTGAAGCTCACAGTGAATTTACTCTGCTCTAGGCCTTTGAGAAATAAGGGTTGAGATGGAAAAATAGAATCAAAAGCACAACTTACAATTCAAGTATTGCTGGAATAAGCCTTGG